AACATTTTTGCATTTACAGATGTTATGATCATGTACTCAATCCCTTCATCGTTGTCGCCATGCTCAGCAATTTTAGATCGTGGATGGCCCCGGTGAAGAATCCTGCATTTAAGGGTGCGTCATTTGATCACGAGTGCCAACCTAATGCTCCTTCGTCCGTAAGCAGTATATGCTTCACGTGGTGATTTCCATCACTTATCGCTTCTACCACTTGCGGAAAGGGTCTAATATTCAAGCGATTGAATTTACGCGAATCATACAAATAGGCGTGTGACGTGCCATCATGAAATAGGCTCTGCTGTCGTTACTCATGAGTAGTAGAAAGCTGATGAGCAGTTTGGGAGTGCACTTACTGTGACCGTTTTTGAAGCAAGCGATGGGCTTGTGGATAGTTTTTCATGATTTCTTCAAAATCTTGTTTCGACAGACTGAAAAGTGTCGAAAAGCCTTTGGAACGAACATCTGCCGTCCGGCGGTTCTTTCCCGTCAAGGCAAGAAGGCTGAAGTACAGGATACGTGGTGAAAGACTGTGTAGATTTGGAAGGCGCTACTCACAAAAACAAAACGAGGCATGATTAGAGGGAAGCGGTGACACAACAGTAGCGCATATCTGTAGTTCATGTTGATAGACTCCGTACCTAAAGTTGGATTTAACATCGAAACAGAAAATCAGTGGAGTATTGGTATTGGCGAGATGTTTCAGTGGTTAGAACGCGAATTTACTGATCGCTTGCTCCGTGGTTCGAACCCGACCTCTGCATCTCAACTTCTGTCTAGGCTTGGGCAACCTTGCAGCAACCCAGCCTTCGGGCTTCATTCTGGTGACATGGCAGTTAGGCATCGAAAGGGTGCCACAGCTGAATGTTTTTTTGGAGAGTATTGGTATATCAAGGCAGTATCCATGACTGTTTTTTGGCTCCCGTTTAAGTTTAGGTACCTTTTGGATAACCCATCCCATGTACAAATATGAATTGCATATCCACAGATGGACTCATATCCATCAGCCATCTCGTGGTGAATTCAGCCGGTCGGCCCACTTGCTGTGTGCAGTAGGGCGGGTAAGCGCAAACAGACAAATGCGGATGCCTGCTTTCTTTCTCTTTCACTCGTTCATTCTTCTAGCCCTCCTCTCCTCGTTGCCAGAAACACCTCCTGAGACCTGAGACATTCGTTCGCCACACACTGTGACATGTTCGTATGGCAGTGAAGCACCAGCGTTCTCATCTAGTGTTGTTGATGATTATGGTAATTTGTTGGTGAAAAATGGCTGATCTCAGTGAACGGATCAACAGTCAAAGTCAAAAAGAAGTACCAACACCTCACAAAGGTTAACCCTTGAATTATAACTTCTAGTCATTCTTCCGTTGGTGAGAGAAGAGTTCAAAGCACGAGTTCCAGAATACCATGAATTTCACCACAGTCTAGCAGGATTGAGTTGTCCGTGACACAAGTTGGCTGGCAATCCTGGCAGATGGGTTTATCGATCGACCCAACCAGAATGCTCACTGTGTCGTCCTTCGAAACTTTGAGCAAACCGCTAATACCTTTCAAGTGTGAACCTGTTCGTCGGTTCAGTTGTGGCAATCCAGGTGCGCTCAGCGAGTGACATGGAGAGAAGGCAGCCTGCTTGCACCGCTTATTAGACATCCAAGGTTCGAATCCCGGTGTGGACTATTTATGCACACCCGATTAACTTCGATGACAGCGAAACGCTGGTCCAAAGCTTCCCGTCTTCAGTGGAAACTCAGTAAAATAACTAAGCCAGAACTAGAAGGGGACTTTCTAAGCGAGTGCGATACGGAAGCGGAATAATTCCGAACTGACTGGTTTTATAATGCATATGTTGCGAAATAATATGGACTGTTGAAGAGCGAGAACTTATTGTGAATTCGGCCAGTTTTCTACTAATGGACAAGATAGTTGACCAGCATTTGGTCAAACCTAACCGGCGTGACCCTTCGAGCTCACATGTCTCACAGTGAAGCAGGAATATTCTACTTGCCTCGTACAGCACGTCGACCAGTATTTTTAACTTTGATGGTAATGGAAGGAGATTTGGTAATATTGAATGGAGGTTTCACCCTGTCAGTGAAGCTAATCTGTTCTGAAAGGTCAAGAAGAAATCTGAAACTGTTTCACCCTTGTTGGGAACCGTCAGAATTGTGTATCTCACGAGAATTAGAGAGCTTTGAACCCACCACCTTATGGTCGGTGGTTGAACATCAAACCCTCTGTCCACGAGCAACAATATGATTAGAACTCATTTAGCCGGGACATGGAACCATTGACCCTTAACACCGGAAACAACATCATGTACTTTTCATGAGGGAAACTACTCAAATGTTTGCTGAAAACTCTTCTGTGCCCTTCTTGGGACTCGTCAGGTAGACGCCATCGCCGAGTTTCCATCAACCTTATGTTCTACTTGAACCCAACAACTCCAACTGAATATCATAAACGAGAGGTTTAGTTGAGTCTCTTGTGAAAACCGAATTGATTTGCAAATGAGTGTATTTCTCGAAAACATCACGTGCTGTTTGGCTTCTCGGGTGACGAACTGTCTAAAGGAAGTTTACTCGTCGGATCTTGTTCATTCATATCGCCAGATACGAGTACCACTCTCAAATGGACAACTCTTCTGGAGACAACTGCATCTGATTAGAACTTTCAGCACCAAAATGCTGAATGATTTCTTCATGTCCCAGACAATAAACGTAGAGTATTTTAGATAATCTTCAACCTCTAAAGCTTCACACAGATTTGGCGCATACAAAGGTTGACGGAAGTGGCCAAATTTGTCACTGTTACATATCGGTCAATACAAGATGCTTACCTAATCTCTCCAAACACACTCCCTTCTTTCAATGTGACGAAAACAATCGAGTTGTCCGGACCACCGACGACCTCTACCACACCACTTTTGACAATGTACATCTCCTTGCCGACTTCGCCCTGCAAACGGTGTGTGAGTGAGTAGAAGTTGAGCTGGTGCTTAACGATTATTAAACAAAGTTTGGGCACATACCACATTAAGTGCAATCAGATGGTTCACACGTGAAAAAAGTTGAAATCCAGATTTCATCATGCAAGTGAGGTCACTGGAAAGCCTGAGAGAAACGAACAGGTGTTTCAAAGTTGTTCAAAATCCTCACCAGGGGTGCACATCATCCGAATATCTAAGGCGACTGCAACCTGTGTGATTCCAGTGATAAATAGCTTCACGACCAAGGAAGTCTCAGATATCCCGTAGTTCATTCATTTCTTTTTGACAGATCAAGCGCTTCCCATAGACTGTGGGGAGATTTTCAAGTCTCAGTTGCAATTTAATCATGCATGCGAATTCAAATTAGAAGTGAATTTTGAGAATCATTGTGTCATATCTGCTGATTCGCCGGCCTGTGGTATCTGCTGCTGACCCGCTCCAGTGCCTAGTGTCGGAGAGAAAAAGGCTCACGGAAGGGAACACAATAGCTATATTCCAACAAAGTGGTGGCGAGAGCGCGAGTGCGTGCGAGTGCGAAAAGTACAACGGCCTCAAGCTTTTTATTGGAAGGACACTGTCTGAACTTGGTCTAATGCTGACGCACGCGGTCTGGCTTTGGTACGAGGCTGCAACGTGCTGCGTATTGCGGGGGCGTTGTCTGACCCTGATCAACGCTGACTCGCGCTGTCTGGGTTTGATACAAGGCTGTGGAGTGCTGCATATTGAGGGGGGCCTTGTCTGTCTGGTCAAAATCTAGCGGGGCTGAGAGTCTCAGCAGATTTCGGGCATTCAGTGGTTGCTTTCAGGAAGCTGACCCTCCTGATGCGTTGTATGGCGCTTTTATTCTTGTTGGGTTCCACCGGTTGCTGGCGCTCCAAAAACCTCTGGAAATTTTGAAACTTGATATCTTCAGGTCATAGTTTACGGATCTATTCTTGAAACGGTGATCGGATTGCGGAAAGTTTGCCCGCGGGAGTCATTTTGGTTGGATTATTCTAGTAAACGTCCTTGGCTGTCTTACTTAAAAGATGTTTGATCAGTTAGAACCTGCCTCAGAATTCTGTTTTGACTAGGGACCTAGCAGTTTTTATTTTTTTTCGCACAAATTTGTGGTAGTTTATTAAAACTAAAAACAATTCACGGTTCTTCGTGTGTGCCCCTCTGATACAAATGGAATGAACGTGAATCTAGGATTTGACGACGTGGTAATAATCGTGTAAAAATGATTAGGGAAGCTTACTTTTCGACAGATGTAGTCCATTGGGAGGAATACCACCGGTTTCAACTTCAGAATCATATCGTAAATCAGAGCCCGCTCGCAGTTCTGAGAAATACCGGAAGAACTCGATTAGTTGTGATTTTATTTCACTACTTTATGCTTGAGAGTAGTAAGAGAAATAATGTTATGCGGACGGCCTTTGTCACCGCTGTTTCCCACATTCAGACATTCTTGACTGGTATGTTAGGTGGCCTTAAGATCACGGGTGTAACATTTCGGTGGATGTGTTGGTGCCAAACTGATGCGCTTTGTTTCGTCAGACCAATCACATCGCCATTTTGAAGCATAAAATGTTTTTTTCGGATTACAGCGAAGTGGATAAGAAATCAGAAAGTGTTTCACTTACTACCTGAGGTTTAGGGTTTCTGTGATTCTCCATCAAGGAGTAGTTTGTAAGCTGATAAAAGCGGAGAAAACGCTTAATCAAGAGACAGGGGGCGAATTCAGGTGGGACATTCAACAACCCTCACGAGATATGGTGCGGTTGGAATCACAGTGAGCTTCCGACTTACTTGAAACAGCGATACCTTGCTCAGCGTGTGGTAGTGCACACTAATAGCCAGGTCACTTTTCAGTTTGATTGGAAGAACTTCGAACAGGGAGTTCTCATCTAAAATGTTAGGATATGTTTGGAAATATTTCAGCACATAGCCCATGTAAAAGCACAATATGTCCATCGTGGTCCCCCAAAATCGAAACCGCTGGATATGTTGAAGAGAAACAGTGTTAGTTTTTCACTCACATCGGGGCGTAGGTTGGCAAATCAGACGGGCTACTTTTAAATTCCCAGTAATATGGATATAGCCTTGATGGCTCAAGTGGTTGGAGTGCCAGTTTACTAGCCGGAAGATCCGTGTTTCGAACCCAACCTCTGCCTCTCGATTTGCCCTGTCTAGGCTTGGGCAACCTGGCAGTATCCCAGCCCTCGTGCCTCCTTCGGGTGGCATGGCAGTCAGGCACCGAAAAGGTGCTACAACTGAACGAATGAACGACAAAGCCTTGACACACTGTACACCCAGCTTGTCGGCGTATCGATCAAGTTTTCCGACATATTTCTCTATATAAACCAGTTAGATGTATGTTCTGCATAAAACCCTACAACGACATATCCAAAGATGGTAATCGCCGAAGGTCAGACCGACAAAGAAGACATTTTCAATGCAATAACCACTTCTTTCTGAGTATTTCACATACGCCGTAGCGGTAATTACCAAAACGGTAAACTAGAGCCAAAACAATATCCTTTTCTTTAGAGGAAAGTGTTGGTAGCCCAGGCAGACTCTCAACCACAGACCCATCTCCACGCACTACCACGCTCACTTAGAACGCATAGAAAATGTCACCTGGATTGGTGAAGGGACGTTTGCAATCAAACTGCCCAGCTCAGCAAACAACCCAACATCATCCCTTATCGCAACGTCCCATACCAAATAATGAACGTCATACCTCCAGGTTGCTCAATTAGGGGTTTTATTGATTCCTTTGGAGGCGTTGGTGCTATGGACCTTGTTAATTACGTGAAGTGATTATTTGTTTCTTTATTCCCCAGGCCAATTAATCACCTTTCCGTCACCGCTCAAGTTTCAAGACTGAACCGTTCTTTAATCACCTTCACCGCTCAAGTTTCAAGACTGAACCGTTCTATTTTAAACAGAGTTGACTCTACATCAACCGTTTTCTATAGACAATTTAATTTGATTTATTTCTGGGCTTGTTGTTGAAAAT